TGCATCTTAAAGTCCTCAAATGAGTGAAGTCATATATTTGTCTTTCTCTGACTAATTTCGCTTAGCATACTACCCTCTAGTTCCATCCACGTAGTTGCAAATGGCAAGATTTCATTCTTTTTGATTGCCAAGTAATACTCCATTGTGTATATATACATCTTTATCCATTCATCCATCGATGGACATTTGGGCTTTTTCCATACTTTGGCTATTGTTGATAGTGCTGCTATAAACATAGGGGTGCATGTGCCCCTTTGAAACAGCATACCTGTATCCATCCCTTGGATATATACCTAGTAGTGCAATTGCTGGGTTGTAGGGTAGTTCTATTTTTAATTTTTTGAGGAACCTCCATACTGTTTACCAGAGTGGCTGCACCAGTTTGCATTCCCATAATTTTTTTTTAATGTTTATTTAGTTTTGAGAGCAAGCGAGCATGAATAGGGGAAGGGCAGAGAAAGAGGGAAACACAGAATCCAAAGCAAGCTCCAGGCTCTGAGCTGTCAGCACAGACCCTGACACAGGGCTTGAACCCACAAACTGTGAGATCATTACCTGAGCCGAAGTTGGACACTCAACTGACTAAGCCACCCAGGCACCCCAGGATTCTGCTTTTCAATTACTATGTGAATGTCCTGGGTCTCTGGAGTTCCTTTGGAAGCAATGGTTTACTCCTATAACTTTTTTATGATCTTGCTATCTGAAAATTTATCAGCCTGGTCTTAAATATCTTTTCTTTTTTAATGTTTTGTTTTATTCCTGAGAGAGAGCATGAGCAGGGAGGGACAAAGAGAGCAGAAGACACAGAATCCGAAGCATGCTTCAGGCTGAGCTGTCAGCACAGAGCCCCACACAGGGCTCAAACCCACAAACTGCAGGATCATGACCTGAGCCAAAGTCAGACGCCCATCTGACTGAGCCACCCAGGTGCCCCTGTGGGCCTGGTCTTAAAATTCTTTAGTGGATGTATATAAATGGCGGCTTATCTTACATTTCAGACTCAAATGGCAGCTTATCTTACATATCAGACTCATCTGCCATAACTGTTTTTGGTTTTTTTTTTGTAGGCCAGCTTGACCTGAAAATCCAAGTCTCTTTTTTCCCCACCTAAAAACAATAGCAAATCCCCCATGAGTATGTCTTTCTGTTTCTATATTTGACCATTGTGGGGAGCTCATGTCTGATGGAAAGACTAAAACTTGTAAAAAAGAGAGACTTTCAAAATGGGATCAAAAACTAAAGACTTCCCAAGGTTCACAGATAACGTGTTAGTCTGCAAGAACTTTGGGTTCATGCAGGTGTCTGATTCGAGTCTTCTAATCTTAGGTATTATTGTACTTGAGCTTTTCATTGTGCCCTTTCTCACCAGCTGGGTTTTTAACTTGGTTTGGGTGTTTTTTGTGTACAGTATTCTAAGCGTGAAATATCCTTCCTTTTTAGACAGAAGCTGGTGTTGTTTTTATGGCTGCCATCATGAAAACTCACTCCGTTTTTTTTTTTCCTCTTCACAGGCTGCTTTGATCATGCAGGTTCTTCAACTGACTGCAGACCAGATCGCCATGCTGCCTCCTGAGCAGAGGCAAAGTATCCTGATCTTAAAGGAACAAATACAGAAATCCACTGGAGCACCTTGAAAGGTGAGCCAACTTAACCTGCCTAAGTTGGACAAGCTCCCTGTGCATTTGGGGTATTAGATGCTTTCAACCTTAACCAACAACACTCTCCTGATCTCAAGACTGTCCAAGGCCTGCAGTCCTCTTGGCTACACTCTTCACCCTTCATTAGATTAGATCAGCTCCTATGAAGATAGCAGAAGGCAGCAGGGTATTTGTTCAGTTGTTGAGTTGGTTGTAAGCTTTTTTTTAACCTTTCTTTCCTAATGGCAGAAGTAACATGTGATCACTTTTACAAAGTTAAACACAGAAATGTAGAAAGGTCAGGGTAGGAAGCTCTGCTTCCTCAATCTCATTCCCCGAGCAACCTCTAAATATAGTTTGGTGGGTATCCTTCCAGAATCAGTTGTGTTATTTTATTCCACATATTCTCCATCAAAATGGAGAAAATGCAAAGCATTTCAATAAGATGTATAAATATTTTAGTTTCCAGTATTTATTTAATATTGACTGTGTTGAGGTTAAACTGATAGAGCACCATCACCATCGGTCCCTTTACATTTTAGAGGCTGTGGTACACCTCTGCCCTTTATTTTTCTTGCTTATCAGTCATGTAAAAGGGATCATAATCACGTGACCTAACCTGATTCTATGTATTTGAGTTTCTTTTAAAAACCTTTTTCCCCAACACCTTGTATTTTGTAAATAATTATTTTCTAAAAACAGTTTAAAATTCACATTGTCCCAATATTGGCTGGAATATCACATCGTGAATTTCTACTTTCTACCCCGTCTGTATTATAATTCCCATCCACATATTATAATATAATAGTGAGGGGCGCCTGGGTGGATCAGTCGGTTGAGCATCTGACTTGGCTCAGGTCATGATTTCACAGTTTGTGGGTTCAAGCCCCGCGTCAGGCTGTGTGCTGACAGCTTGCTCAGAGCCTACAGCCTGCTTCAGATTCTGTGTCTCCTTCTCTCTCTCTGCCCCTCCCCCGCTCATGCTCTGTCTCTGTCTCAAAAACAAATAAATGTTAAAAAAATTATAATATAATAGCGAATTCATTTACACCATTTAGCAGTCTTTACTAAATATGTTGTGTTTTAATCCATATTTGTAATGTCATTAAAACATCCAAACCAGAAACATGCGTCATATCCGTATTTAGACTTTAAATTTTTTTTTTAATATTTAGTTTTGAGAGAGAGAGTGTGAGCAGGGGAAAGGCAGAGAGAGAGAGGGAGACACAGAATCTGAAGCAGTCTCCAGGCCCTGAGCTGTCAGCAGAGAGCCCGACGTGGGGCTCGAACTCACAAACCATGAGATCATGACCTGAGCCGAAGTCGGACGCTTTAACCAACTGAGCCACCCAGGCACCCCTGTATTTAGACTTTAAATGACTAAAGTGTAATGAGAAGCTGTCCTAGATGGATGGCTAGCTAGACTTTAACTTTTTAGTCCAGATACCTGAGGCATTTTTTTAGTAAAAGAATAGGCTATTATATTTGGAGTAATAGATTAAAAACTATTCCTGTCTTTTACTTTTTCTAATTTATTTATGTCAGAGAAGGCATGCCCCACAACATGGAGAAATTACTCTTTTTGGATAATAGAGGTAGAAATATTTCTGAAAGTTCTTTCATTATGTATTCTTGCTCATAAGCTATTCCCAAGCCGTGCACACAAACCACAGGGCAAGGGTTTTTGTTTGTTTCTATTTTGAAATAATTAATATAAATTCACAGAAGGTTGGAAGAATAGTACAAAGAGCCTCGTGTACCCATCCTTAAACTTCCCCCAAGTATAACATCTTGAGAAGCTGTTGTGCAGTGCCTTTTTGGTTTGTAGTACAAAACCAAGAAATTGACATTGGTACATTTCTGTTGAGTACAGACCTTACTCAGTTTTCACTATTTTTTAGACATATTATTTGTGTGTGATCAGTGGTTCTCATCCAGAGGCAGTTTTGCTCCATACAGGAAATTTGGAAATGTCTGGAGACGTTCTTGGTTGTCAGAACTTTAGGGGATAGTGTACTACTGGCATTCAGTGGGTAGAGACCAGAGATGCTTCTGAACATCCTATAACCACAGGATCTCCCCCCACCCCATAACAAAGACTAACCTGTCTCCAAATGTCAATATTGCGAGGTTGAGAAACCCTGCTGTCAGGTGATTACTTTGGAGATCCTGGAGGTAGACACCTTAGGAATCTGTCCCTGGTGATTTGCCTTTTTGCATAGCCTCCCTCCCTTCCTTACTTAAAATTTTTTTTTCCTGATATTTGGGGAAGAGAACTTTTTCTCCATTTCTAATGGCTTTCTCCCAACTTTTTCTTACAGGTTTTCAAAAATACCTGGCAACAAATCTGGAAATTAATTCCATAACTTTGTTGAAATGTTGCAAAAAGATGACTTCTGCATCCTAACCCTTGAATGACTCAAATTGGTGCCAGGTGGAGGATTCCCATCACCTTCTCTCAGAACAAAATCAGTTCATTCTGTTGTCTTAGTTTGTATATTTTCTGTGACTTGAAATAAACTTTGAACACAATTTTAGTATACTGCAGATTGATACACATGACCTTTTTGCTTTTAAAAAGGTGTACACCAAGGGTGAAACCTTAGATGTGTTTTCAACCCTTACCGCAGTATTGTACTTTAATGTTATATTGCCATAGCTCTGTTTTTCCTTTAAGTTAACCACTTATTCTTCTTGATGATATTTGAGAATTTCTCAGAAGCAGTGTTTTCTAGAACTTAGTTTTTGCTTTGTTTGCTTCCAGCAGAAATAATGCAATTTGCCCTTTGAGAACTTGCTAGAACTTCTGAGTTTACTGGGAGAAAATAGCCCATGCTTAGAGCTGTAAAATGGCAAGAAGGACAACAAAGCAAAAAGCCTAGCAGAGCAGTGTATTTAGTGTAGAAAAATCCAATTATCAGAATGTACTTTTGTTTATCAGTAGCAGGTTTGTTCACATGCATAGTTCAGAATTAAGACAAAATGTTGTATTGGCACTGGTTCAAGTGTGTCAGCAACACAAGAGACTGTTGACATTTACCTGTCCTAAAACTCTTCAGTCTCAGTAGTCAACCTTGAAAGTTAAAAAAGCCACTAATTTTTCACATGTTTGAGATGAAATAAAAACTAAATAGAAATCAAATGAACAAAATACATTCATTCTACCTTCTAGATAATCACTAACCTACAGTCTTCCTCTATAACCAAATTTATTCTGGGAAATTAAAACATAGAAAACCCTGAAACTTTTACATTCTTCTCATTTATTTTAAGAGGACCAAATGTAGAGCATAAGTAGTCAGATTGCCCATTAGGCCTGCCCCTGCCTGCTTCCTTGCAGATGGACGTGACCATAAATAGTGCCACTAGTTCTAACCTATGGCTCTTCCAGCCTAGCATTCTCTCTCTCATAGTGGCATTAAGGAGGAACATGATTTCTCTCCATCAGGCCAACCTCAAGAGGTTAAGAGATGCCTTAATAATTAGTAAAGTTCCACTGGAACTACTCTTTGAGCCTATTTATATTCTCAGAATCCTACCCCCTGGGTTAGGATTATGGTTAAGTGAATTAAAAGCCTGCCATAGGCTTAGAGAATGTAATAGCATATTGCTTACACGTCAAGCAAAAGAATGCAATGATAATCAACTTTATGAGAGACACTGAAATTGAGGGATTTTCTACTCTGATGTGTAAACATTTACTACAACAAAAGTTTGCTGAATAAAATATTTCATATTACAACTTAGGAAGAAAAACTTGCTCAAAACAGCTAAAGAGATTTCTAGGTATCCTGCTCATCCCCAATTTGGGCTTGGATGTTGATTATACATAGGATTATTATCATTACCTTTTCTGCCTACTTCCATGAATATTCTAGGCCTTATTGTGTTGATTTTAGCAGCAATCATATCTTGAAGAGTCAATATATTTAGACATTGAAATCAAGAGTGAAACCTTTCTCATTAGGGACTCATAAGTTTCAAGGAACACTAAGATTCCAAATCAAAGTCAATGAAGATCAAATTATCATATGGTCAGCAGTTGTCTAAGAGGAACCACATCACCAAGGTTCCATTGTGCATTTTCCTAAATCATTACTAAGTTTAATTTAGATAGCTGAAATCCAGGAAGTCAATAGTAGGGGTATCCCACTCAATTCCTATGGAAATACCCATTACTAGTTTTTCCTGATGTCCAATTAATAAATGAAACACAATTAGCTATCATGAGCCCATGATAGCCTTTATTTTGTTCAGACTACTGAAAATGGATCTTATCCTTTAAGTCATAAAATCTTCTGGGTACTTAGAAATGACCGTTTATTCATTTTTGGACACTTAATGGTAGAGAAATAGGTGCTATAATGCTGATTTAGTAGGAACATTCTTAAAAATCTGAGTTGAATTGTCTTTTGGGGTAATGAAGTGTGGACCTCTTTTAAGGGCCCCAGTCTTTGCTTCTACTAATTCACTGTGACTACTAACATCCCAGAGCTGGGTGGATGGCAGAAATAAAAAGCATTCTGATAGGAGAAAAGACATTTTGCTTATGTCATTAGGTGAATGATTCCTTAATAAATAGGGAAGAGCCAAAACATGGTATCAAACTTCTAAATTATCTTTTTTTTTTAAACTAAATGTTGCTAAACCACCCCCCTTCATAAAAATGGCAATAAAGAGCCCCGGTTAAGTCACCCTAAAATGGAGTTCAAGTTTTTGCAGTTATTTCCAACAGAACAATGCAAGCTAATGACAATATAGCTTTAAATTAAAATATAATTTCAGTTACAATTAGCATAGTTACAAGATTTTCTTTCCCCAATGGAGAGCTTAAAGTAATGAGTCATTCATTAAGAGATAAAGTAATGGGCGCCTGGGTGGCTCAGTCGGTTAAGCGGCCGACTTCGGCTCAGGTCATGATCTCACAGTCCGTGAGTTTGAGCCCCGCGTCGGGCTCTGTGCTGACGGCTCAGAGCCTGGAGCCTGTTTCAGATTCTGTGTCTCCCTCTCTCTGACCCTCCCCTGTTCATGCTCTGTCTCTCCCTGTCTCAAAAATAAATAAAACGTTAAAAAAAATTAAAAAAAAAAGATAAAGTAATGAAAGATTCATTAAGAGGAAAATCATTTCACGACAAGCAAAAACAAAGCATAAATTGCTAGTCACACTGGATAAGACCGTGTTTAAAATAACAGTAAGAATGTACATAGTGTTATATAGGGATGGGGTTCTTGGTGATTTTATGTTCATTGCTTTATTATTTATGCTTATTATGGTTTGTCATTATTCAATAAATTTTTTATTTAAAAAATAACCCTACTTTAGAAATCTTCTTTGAAAGTGAGAGGGTGGGAAAAATAATACCAAAAGCCTGGGAGAGAATAACAGAGTAAACCATATCAACTGGGGTAAAGTTGTGTAACTGTTAAACACATCTGCTATCAGGCCTTGTTGCAGTCATGGCATTCCAGAAGGATTCACAGTTATTTTCCCAAGGAAGGATGGGCTTTGCAATTATTGTGACCTCATGAAGATCAGTGACATCAAAGTTGAATCCAATAAAAAAAAATGAATGCTGGGGAGAGTTTAACATGCATGTTACTGTCCTTACGTGGCTGCTCCTACCTGACCAGACCAAGTTATTGAAGATTCAGAGGAGAGACTAAATGCAGATTACCATCCCCATTCCTATAATTCAGAAATTTTCTTTGTTGAAGTAGAATTGAACCTTCCTAGGATCTAGACTGGAGTACTGGTGACAGCATTTGCTCAGGCTCTTTGCCAAAGTCTGAGGACCACATAAAAAGACTCCCACCACGGACCTGCAGGAATAGAACAATAGGGCAAGAATAGAGCAAAAGCTGCTATGTTCATGAGGATGGAGAAACTGCCTCCGCTAGGCCTCTACTGCTCCCAACAAACTTGCATAAAGTTTCAGTTGACTCCCTCACATTCTTCGTTGTAGTTTTCTCACGTTTTCTGCTTGCAAGCCCCAAATGTGCTCCCAGCCTTCTGTTGCTCTCAGCATGCATGCATCCTTACCTATTCTATGGAGAACAGATAGAAGATCTGATGCAGGGTAGAGGTTCAGTGCTAGACCCCAGAGCCCAACTCTCGGTTGACATAACAGCTCTGATGGGGGACCTGGGTGGCTCAGTTCAGCATCTGACTTTTGATTTTGGCTCAGGTCATGATCTTGTAGTTCGTGAGATCTAGTCCTATGTCAGGCTCCATTCTGACAGTGCGGAGCCCGCTTGAGATTCTCTCTCTCCCTCTCTCTACCCCTTCCCCACTTGTGCTCTCTCTCAAAATAAATAAACTTTAAAAAAATAAATAGAAATAACAGCTCTGGCACTTATCCCTGCTGTGTGAATTTAGGCAAGTTTCTTTAACCTCTGTTTCAGTC